CCTCGCCCTACTACAGGAATTCCCTCCTAGGGAACGTTCAGATTAAACAACAATTGAAGACTTATTTGTGTAGCTGGTGATTGACAACAGAGCCAGTATTAAGCATCCTATTGTCTATTTAGTTCTTTTGTTGCTCTTTTTAAAATATATATTTTGAGCAGTAATAGGTTGCATGTTATACACTTATTATTGTAAGCCAACCTGTGCTCCTAAGGTGGAAGGATGGGAGGATGTGGTAAAAAAAAACTTGTAAATAAATAAAGAGGCAAATACTCACATGTTTTACTTTCACATTGCATTTATTTCCTGCAGAAAATGTTGATCTTTCGTTGTTGTTTCCCGGAACAATAATCACATGTGGCACTGACCAGGGCTTCCTGCCAGATTCAGATTTTTAGAAATATTGCATCATTTTTGCATATGATAGGATGGATGACAATGCTTTTCTGTAACAGCAGTGATGCCATGTTAGGATTACAGGAGATGCTACTTCATCTTAAATGCAGTTATTTGCAGCAAATTAAACTGGCTTGTGGATTACAAATTAAGCTCCCAGTTGATATATACTTTTGTATATTAGTATATGGTTGTTTGTCTGTGAACAAACGCCACCCCCCTCAGCCTGAAGCGAGGTTAGCGCCATACCCCATAGTTGCCTTTGACTGGACCTAACCATCCAGGGGTCATTTACCTTTACCTTGCTTACTCTCCTGAATACCTTCCTTTACTGTCTAAGGCAGAGGATCCCAAACTGACCCCTTTCCAGAAAAAGAAAAAGAAAACCTCAGAGCCCTCTGGAAATCTACCTTCTTTAAGTGAACAAACAGGAAGATGCAGTGACAAATTTGTGTTCTTTTATGTGTATATATTTCTGCCTACATCCTACAAGAATGATGTTGTAAAAACCCATGGGGCGGACCAGCGTGAAGTCTGCTGGCTCAGTCCGATCTGCCCCAGAGGTGGGGCCGGCACCCGATCTGGCAATAAGTGTCATTACACAACAGATGAAACATGTACAAATGGTTTTTCCAAATATCATTTTCTTCTACTCTTTCCTTATGCTTCCACCACCACCTCAGCGTTATTCAGTGCCCCCCAATTGCACCTGAGACTACTACTGCTCCCCTGGATCATTCCAGCACCTCCCAGGGGGCAGTAATGCCCACTTTGGGAAACACTGTTTTAAGTGCAAAGATTTTAGTGGCCAATTTTCAAAATCCTACTTTTAGAAACGTAGTTTTCGTTTGGAGACATATGTGGACATTTCCCCCCACTTGATATAAATAGATTTTGAGCACTGAAAAACATTCACAATTTGATGCCACCAAAATAGGACAGATTTCATCAGGCATCTTCCGTTATCCTAAAGACCTGGACTTTTCCATACTCATATGAAGAGTTTATGTTAACTGATGGACTGATCATAACATCCTTCAATAGTATACAAGGCATGGAAGCACCATGTTTGTACCTGTTCTTCCTGTTTCCTCTGCCCCTTATGTGGCCTCCCTGCTTACATTTGAACTTATTTTCTTCCATAGAATGAGAGCCAGAATCTACTTTCACTCTGGGTCATCTCCAAACACAAGCCCTATGGAACAAAATGTCAAAATGAACTTCCTGCCTCTGGCAAACATTTCAGTGTTTGTAGTACAGAACCTGTGGCCCTCCAGATGTTTTTGGACCACAACTCTCATCAACCCCAGCCAGTGTGACCAATGGACAAGAGCTAGAGTCCCAACAACATCTAGAGGGCCACCAGTCCTGTACCCCTCTCCCAAGTTTATAGAAACATATAGTTGTAATCTACAACCTTGTGAAGTATGTTCCACTGCATTCAGCAGGACTTTAGTAGGTAACTAAATGCGACATAGCAGGCCCATGTGTTTTCTTTTTATAAAATCCATTGAATAACTATAAAAGGGGGCAATTTCTTGTGTAGAATGGGCGGGGACTGCTTTTTCCTTTGGCTAGGCTCTGAGATCAGAAAGGAGTCTGCTTAGAGAAATTCATTCATGGGCAGGCATATCAAAGGAGAAAAGTAGAGCATCCTTTTTCCACCTCTGCTTTAAATCATGCTCACCTCCCACTTTATACATCTCCACACAAACCATGTTCAAATGTATGAGTCACATTTAGTCACTGTCACAGTTAGACCCGCAATGGGGAACCTGTGACTCTCCAGTGACTGAACCTCCCATCATCCCTGAGCATTGGCCATGCTGAATGGGACCAATGGGATTGGACTCCCATCAGTCCCATTCAGGGATGGTGGGAGGTGCAGTATTCAGTATTATTGAATAGAGAGAGCTGCAGGCTCCCCATCCCTGAGTTAGACCGTTACTCCCAAATAAATATGCATAAGATCAGGTTTCAAGTCTTGGCAAGACAAGTGCATCCTTTTTTAATTATCCACAATCTGACAGGATCCATGTTGCCAGGATAGTAGCTTGCCAAGGCTGAACCGGGACTAAGGAAAATAAGTCATTCACTAAGAGGAAAAACTGAAATATTTTGACATTTTGTTTAACAGAAGGAAAAGCCTCTGCTTTTAAGCAGAATGCAGAGGGACCCACACTTAAAGTAACTGAAATGGTAGTTTTAACCTAAACATCCTGAGTATTTACACTTCTCATATGCTAGCTACCAATATATTTCTAGATCAGAAACGTGGCCAGATCCAGCCCACCCAGAAAGGTTCACGATGGAAGAAAAGGGGAATTGGGACAACAAATGACTGGGCTACATTCACTAGACCTCCTAGCACCTGTGAGTCTAGTAAGAAATCTTTTCCATTTCTCTTTCAGGTGACTCTCTCTGGCAAGAAAATGCATCTATGAGCAAGACGTTATTGCTGACATAGGAATTATTGACTGTGGCGAGGGGATGATCAGCTTGACTTTCTGTAGGTGCTGCTGCTTTACCACCAACGTAGTCCTAGTGGCTTGGGTTGTTTTGCTGACAGCTGAGAACGGTACTCCCTGGAAGCAGTGGGTCCCCCGCCTCCGCCTCTCATATCAAGGTAGGACTTGTCTTGCCAGTCTTTCAAGTAAGTTCCTAGGATGGACACCCTGAGCCATAACTAATCCACACTGGCAAAGACAAGGCAGATGCAGGCTGTGTATCTGACCTAAGGGTTCCCACACACATCTTCCCCTTTGTCACATTCACTAATCCAAAATTCTCATCCTGTGACCCTCTCTGAAATTTAAGCCTCTTCTACTACCTCAGGCATCTGAATATATGCAATCCATTCAAGCCAAATTAATATAGGATAAACAGTCCATCTGAGACTCTTTGTTCTGCTCTTTTGTACTTTCTAATCTTAAATGACTTGCAGGTGAACTCTCTGGGCCCTTCCAGGTGAGCACAATAGATGCACAGATGTTAACTTATTCTATTGGGATCTAGAGGATCCCCCAAAGGCGCACTTTTCTATTGTTTCCCGAGACAGACGGATGCCAACCAATTCAGAGCATCTAGACATTTTTTTCCAATTAGCTTGTGTTGCAGAGATTTTGCTTCTCTCTTTTTTCTTCTTCCTTCAAGTGGCAAACTTGTGTAGATGAGAGTAAGTATGATACTGTCAACACCACAATCTGGTCGGCACATTGAATGCGATAGTTTTGTGTGAAATGCAGTGGCCTCAAACATCACAAAGATACATTGGACAGTGGTAGGGATGGGAGAGGAATTGGTTTGATTTGCATTTTAATGTGAGCCTACCTAATTTGCACTCCCAAAACAACAAAAATGCCAAAACTATTCCTCAAAATTCACACTTCTCTAAATGGCGTGATGCAGTTCTCTACCAAAACCTGTATACCAGAAAGGCAAAGGGCAAGGCAATTCTCTCTACAGCACTCGTACTTTTTGTGGCATGCCTTTGTTGAACAGAGAGCATTTGCACTGGGCTCCACACAACAGTGTTGGCTCTGTCTCCTGAAACACCTAAAACATCAAGAGCAAAACAACGTGTAGCCCTTCCACCCTCTAGAAATGCTCCAATACTTCATATACCCTTAAAAAAGAAGCAGCTCTGGAAATACTGTGTTCATGAAGTCCTTTTTAGGGCTGATAAGACTAGCAAAATTTTGCTTCTTTTTTCTTTTGCAGCAATTTCCTAGACATTGTGTGGTGGCTGCCATCTTTTCCCCCCTTCTTGACATAAGCCTAGTACTTCTAAACAGAGCTGTAATATGCAGTAATTCTATATGTGCAAACTTTTCTGGCCTGTGGGTGCAGTGATGGGTGGAAGTGCACCAGCTTATTTTCTGCTTATCATGACTATTATATTCACTGAAATTCTGCGAGAGGTACATTTTTTTAAAGTGACAACCAACCCCGGCAAAGTGCTTCTTTGGACGTAATAGTGCTGATAGAAAAAAATTAGATACATCCAATATTCATAGCATGTTTTGGACAAAAAGAACTACATGGAGATTAGACTATATAGTCATACCTTGGAAGTAAAATGGAATTCGTTCCAGAAGTCCGTTTGACTTCCAAAATGTTCGTAAGCCAAAGCGCGGCTTCTGATTGGCTGCAGGAAGCTCCTGCAGCCAGCAGCGGAGCAAGCCGATTGGGTGCCTGGGGCAGCTCATGTGCCCTGTGCCTGGGGGCGGGGCCAGCCACCCACAGGGGCACAGCAGGGCCTCCGAGGAGTCTGCCTGCCTCCTCCCACTCAGCCGCCCTACAACTGAGGGGGAGGCAACGGGCAGACTGTTTGGGGCAGCGCAGAGCCTGCGGGTGCTCAAGCCACTATATCACTCCCAGGAGAGACGTGTGGCTCAGGCGCGCTGCAGGCTCCACGGTGAGTGCCGCCCACCATTTTGTCACCCCCCTCAGTGGGGACACCCGGGGCGGACCGCACCTACTGCACCTCCCTTGCTGCGCCCCTGCCTGCAGCCAGTTGGAAGCCGCAGAAGCCCTGTCAGGCGTTCAGGTTCCAAAGAATGTTCACAAACCGGAACACTCACTTCCGGGTTTGCAGCGTTAGGGAGCCAAAACGTCCGAGTACCAAGGCGTTCATGATCCAAGGTAGGACTGTATCTTGTCTTTATTGAGCATTCATTCTGATTTGTTTGTGGGAAGGATATACAGCAAGGGGCATTCATTCTAATTTGCTTGTGCAGTGTTTATGTATCTTCTCATTAATCATCCCTTCATTCCACAATTTTCAGTACATTTCCACATCACTCCTAACCACAAAAAGTTCTTTAAAAATAAATTGAGTTTGTTGTGCTAGGACAACAGAGCATTTTAATCCTGTTTAATTGCACAAGCCTAAATTTCCATTATGCACGCCAGTCTCTCCCACAAAATGCAGGCAGTCTGGAGACAACCAAAGGCAGGATCAATAAGAGAAATGCAAGACAGTCGGGTGGATCTTATTTACAAAGGAAGAACCAGTTAATGGATGCAGTGGAGCTTTGATGCATTACTGCTAATTCTAGGTAGAGTTAATTTCCTTAACTAGAACTCAGAGAGTGGAGATAAACAATAGATTTAAAGAGAGCTGAAAGTGGTGTGCTGAAAGTGGCGTGCTGAAAGTGGTTTGACAGATGGAGGTTTAGGATGGGGTAATAGAAAGCAAACTTAGACAAAAAGAGACCACCAGATTAATGTGGTCTGCAATGGGGCCAAACATTTCCAAAGCACAGAGTTTCAGATATACTGCCAGCAGTGATAACAGGTCACAAAAATTAAACAAATTGATCTGGGTTTCTTTGAAAAGTAAACAGCTGAAAGGCTTTAGCTGGATAGAAATAGAACTTCAAAGTGTGTACTAGGGTCAGACATGCTAGAAAAATGCTTAATATTTGGTCTCAGCTAAAAGGAAGTTCCCAGCTTGCAGAGGACCAAGGGGCAATGAAGACAATGGCAGGAGGTGTGACTCACAGATATCAAACCAAGTTCAAGGATACAAGGAATGACGGGGTTTACATTTGGAAAGTCCTCGGAGGCGCCCTCCACCCTGGGAGTAGAATAGGTGGGAGGGAGAAAGAAACAGATGGGCTGGCCAAAAGGAAATGAGAAAACTCAAGGCAGGGAGTGCAAAGGAAAGATGTGCTTGAGAGAATAAGGCCAAAAACAATAGCCCACCGCAGCAGCAAGAGGATGGCTTTCCTAGTGTTGTCAATGGGGAGTGTCAGGATTGTGGGGCCCAGTGCAGTGGCAAGAGCACAAGGAGGGGCCGTCCTTTTTCTTTCTCTGTTTAAATAGCAGTCATCACAGCTAGAAAAACAGAAGCATTGAATGAAAACATGGTAGGTTTCCTTGTTTTTGTTCCTTGTTTTGGAGCCTTCTTTTGTTTGAGAACGTATTCTGCACAACTCAAAAGCATGCTTCCCAAAGTTTTTGTATAAAATCGGCCCCAATAAGACGATGATGTCACTTTCATTCTCTTTCACACTAACACTGCTCATCCCCATTGAACTGCTGCTAAGAGGATGGCCATGTCTCCCCCCCGCTCCCAGCCAGACTCCACCTTTCTATGGGGTGGAAGGGGCATATGCCAAAGGGCGATGGGTCTACACTACAGCATCACACAGTTTCTGTCTCATGGCTCCCTTGCCCAAATGAAAACGGAACGAATGAAAGAGCCAGAAAGAAAGTATACTTAGCAATAAAGGTTCTCAGACATGGTTCTCTGCTCTTAGTCTGGTTACCCTGGTATATTTTTGTTTTTTTAAAAGTGATGTGGATCAGTTAATTTCCATGTGACGTGCAATCTGTCTCCAGCAACAATTGCACATAGAGAGTGCAAAGTTCACACACTGCATCCCTTGATGGGTTACTCATTGTTCCTGTCAGTGTTCTACACTAATATTGCACCCACACCACCATATAGGCAGTTGTGTCTCTATATAGGCCTGTGTGGTGTAGTGGTTAAGAGCGGTAGTCTCGTAATCTGGTGAACCAGGTTCGTGTCTCCGCTTCTCCACATGCAGCTGCCTGGTGACCTTGGGCTAGTCACACTTCTTTGAAGTCTCTCAGCCTCACTCACCTCACAGAGTGTTTATTGTGGGGGAGGAAGGGAAAGGAGATTGTTAGCCACTCCTTAGGGTAGTGATAAAGTGGGATATCAAATCCAAACTCTTCTTTAAAGAGCTGCAGCCCCAACCTATGATTGACTCAGACCTTCAAAGCTGGTAAGAAGAAAACATATTCAGGAAAGGAACCAACTTCTAACACTTTACTGTGTCTCTTCTTGGCTATTTCCCCACTAGCATTCCATTCTCAGAGCCCTGACTTTTTAAAAATTTTAACCATAGTGGCCCAATCTCTTGTCTTTCATTAATGCTCCTTGCATTATTATGATTATCAGTGCTTTTTTTAAAAAAAATAAATTAGGTGTACTCTCATTTTGACTCAAGAAAATCACCATTTTATAGTTCAAATCGGGAAAAATAAATACAGTAAATGGACAAAAGTACAGTCGTACCTTGGTTCTCTAACAGAATGCCTTCCAGGAGTCCGTTTGACTCCTGGAACCGTTTGAAAACCAAGGAACAACTTCTGCAGAAGCAGCACCGGACGTTCGGCTTCCAAAAATCGTTCTCAGGAGAGAGTGAGCAGGCATGGCAATTGGGTTTTCCGCATATTACCGTTTGTTATGATTTATTGCTAAAGAGTGGGTTTTCTGGGGGAAAGTGGCAGGGCAAAGGCAAAACCACACAGACCCATTCCTTGAAAGCACAAGACAAGCAGGAAACCACTTGGACCCACCTGTGCCTTCTAGGCAGGGTACAGGTAGAAGTGTGGATGAGCCCACCATCTTCATATTTCTGTTTGCAAATTCCACCTTACAGACCTCCTGAGATCAAACAGCTCTCAGCTGCTCTTGGACTCTGAGGATGAGCTGGCACTCCAGACACTACTTGTGGACGAAAAGAGGGCATGGCTGATGGCAGGCGCTAAGGACCACATATTTTTGCTCAACCTTGACAGCCCCAACAAAGAGCCGCAGAAGGTCAGAGTGCCAAAGGAGGTTGCTTTGGGGTGGGGTGGGAAGGGAGAAAAACAGAAAACGGCCATCAGGATTTGGTCCATGTGCTATACAGGGAGTGTGGGGAGAAAAGTGGAAGGGACGTCTCATTAGGTGATTGAACCTCGTTTCCCATGTGCATATCCCACTTACTGCTGCAATGGGTTCCATCCACATTCTTGGTTGTGTTTTCTCTTCCAGATTTTCTGGCCAGCTCCTAGAGATCAAATGGAGCACTGCAGACTGGCTGGGAAGAATCCTAAGGTAAAAATGGTGGACTCCATGGTTTAGGTTGAGGTGCCTCCTGAATGATCTGTGATCACTAACTACAATGCAATCCTATACATGCCCACTGAACTGATGTTGATGTTTTTATTACCACCATCATTATTTTACAAATTTATAAACTATTTTATAACCTGAGGCCATCAAAGCAGTATACAACACAAAAATAAGATAATACTACAAAAACCATAAATCCTAAAAACAAAAAAAACATTCTTACATGCTCTAAAGCCATTCATACAAATTAATAGTCTATAATTCACTGAGGCTTACTCCCATGTAAGTATAGGATATAGGATTGTAGCTAAGAACCAGTGGTACCTCTGGTTACGTACTTAATTCATTCCGGACATCCGTTCTTAACCTGAAGCACCACTGTAGCTAATGGGGCCTCCTGCTGCTGCGCCGCCGCTGCATGATTTCTGTTTTCATCCTGAAGCAAAGTTCTTAACCCGAGGTACTATTTCTGGGTTAGCGGAGTCTGTAACCTGAAGCGTCTGTAACCTGAAGCATATGTAACCCGAGGTACCACTGTATAAAGACATTTGTTTAGTGATTTGTGGATGTGCAGAGGCAGGAGCAACTTCTCAAATGGTAAGTAGATGAGTAAATCAGGCTATGGCCTCAATCCAGCATCAGTAGCTTGTAGGGCTGGGCAACATATCAATATATCGTCCAAAATCAGTTTGAAGTTCACATTGTGATAATTGTTTCATAAAATTTGAGCTGGCAATATATTGCTGAATCACAATTCGTGTAAGGGCTAGGCGATATTTGGTTTTCAGCATTGCGATAACTCACCAGCTAAACATCGCAATAACTCACCAGCAACACATTGCAAAGTTATCAGCAGCTAAACCTCACAATATCACCATGAGGTGATTGATAATATCACCATTTCTCAGTTTTAGACCCTTAAGTAGTAGCCAGGACATTGTCCTGTTTGCCTCTGCATAGCTCCTTCCTTATTTCAGATATCGTGATATATCAATATATTGCAATGTTTAGCTGGTTTTGAAAACCAGATTTTGAAAACCAGCTATCGCCCAGCAAATACCGTTAGATGCATAACTTGTAAGTCAGATACTTCCTTTCCTTTCATGGTGGGAATACTGGGTCAAACCAAAAATGTCCAAGTAAATTCCTGCCATCTTTTACATCTTTGACTCCTTTACTAGATGGAATGTGCCAATTTCATCCGCTTTCTCCAGCATTTCAACAGCACTCATGTGTTTGCCTGTGGAACAGGCTCCTACCAGCCCATATGTGCCTTCATATATCTCAGAGCTGGAGTGGAGGTGAGTTGCATCCACAAGGCCAGTATTACAGGTATCAGAATCTAGATGCAGTGTAACTCTTTCTGCATCCAACTTCTCCCTCTATGCATACTATTGTATATTTGAGAGCAGGTGAATGATTGTCGTATTGACTTCTTGCATCAGATAAAAAAACCAGCATTATATTTTTACCTGTGTTTTGCAATATCACCTGCTTCTCTGAGGAACAGGGAATTCTTTCACTGAGACTCTTTTCTGATGCTTTCCATAGTAAGGAAGAAAGACAGCTGCCCACTCTTCCAGCCTTTTTCAGAAGATGTCTTGTGCATTTGCTCTTTCTGCAGACAGTACAAAAACATTTTGTAGAGATACCCAGAATGAATAAGTGATGAGGGATTTAGGAGACAATCACTTATTCTCTTCAGGTATTATTAACTTCCACACCAGCTTTCTGCCCTCTCTAGTAACTCCATGGCAACCATCCCAGCAGTGGGTGAAATCCTGTAATCTGTTCACTTGGGCCAATCCCGCCAATTCCAGTCAGACTTTGGCATAATACCCTAGACACAGGCTTAAGGCTATTCTTGACACTTTGGATTATGTTGGTCAAAGGCCAAATTCTTTGGATTAGCACAATACGAGTACAAATAATAAGTGGGCACCATATTGCTTAGTATTTTTATATCTGATTTCAAGGTTTCAAAGAGCTTCAAGTCAATCACCTCATTAATCCTGTTAATTTACAGTGATGGTCTCTCCTAAGGAAATTGATTGTTTAAGATGTGTAAGGCTTTTCCACACTTACCTTTCCTTCATGCTTTCCAGGCCTGGTCCACACTTTAAAGCTCTGTATCTGAATGTTGTTGTTTCTTTTGCTCTGGAGCTTTCCCTGCAAAAACTCATTCTTTACTGCTGAATCAAGAGCAAATGACAATCCGTGAAAAAACAGTCAAAGGTAGTGTTAAAGGGCAGTGGAGAAATGGGAACTGAAACACATTGGGCAAGAAAGCCCAAAGCGCATAAATGGACAATGTACATGGGAGGCTGAGGCCTTTTTGGTGATGTAAAGTACAGTATAAAGAAGAGAGAGGAACTTCAGACCATCTAACAGGTTAACCTTCTGCTTTTCTAGACTCAGTCCTCTGAATGCCAATTGCTGGGAATCACAATTTGGGAGAGTCCTCTTTCAAACTTCATATAAGTGTCCTGTTGGCCACTGTGAGAACAAGATGCTGGACTAGATGGGCTTTTCTTATTCACTTCAAAGTAAAGAGAAGCAAAATAAATAACTCTCCTGGCCAGCATCATTAGAATTCCAACTGTATGATAATTTTTTCAAGTATGTTCAGTAAAGGGCAGCTCCATAGCACTGAGAAAACAACCAGTCTGGAACTTCTGTGAGGTTGCCACTCTGTGGAAAAGCTTCACAGCACGCCTAAAGCACTTTTACAACTCTAGCACCAAAGGCAAGGTAGGTAGTGCTGACTATTTGAGTCATAGAGGTGGAGAAGACCAAAAATAATTTAGTCTAACCCCATGCCACATGCCACCCATCCATTTGGGCCCCTACAGAACCATCCACACAGTCCACACTGAAATGGGTATCACTTGCAGGTGACAAGTGCACCACAGTAAGATACTCCTGTGGCAAATAGTTTGGGTGTGAGCAAAGAGAGTGGAAAGGGGTGATGACAGTGGTTAAAATAACAGCCTGCACCTTAAAACTCTCTAGTTCAGGAGGTTCCCTGGAGAGCAGCCAGGACTGTTGAGCCAATCTCCACTGTGAGCATGACCACTCTGTTTACAGTGATACTTATGAAATCTTTTCCATGGTCCTCTGCAGGAACCAGTGGTGCCAGCTATGCAGCTGGTGACATCCTCCATAGAATCTGGAAGAGGCAAGTGTCCATACAGCCCCCATGAGCCTTTCACAGGGCTGCTCATAGGTAAGAGGGACTGTGAACAGAAAGCAGGCACGAAACCCTAGACAATGACTTCTTGTATCCAATAGCATCCCTCGACTGACAGTGTAGGGCCATAAGACCCCCCCCCCAAAAAAAAACAGCCTTTCTGAGAAAGGAGAGGTCCGTCAGGAGAACAAGGCTGGCATTGATGGAACAGGCTCAAATGTTTATTATTCAAGGTTGTAAAGAGATAAGCAGACTCAGGTCCAACAACAGAATGCTATTTGATTCAGCAGAGGCTTCTAGGACCCAAAGTCAGGAGGAAGAAGCATCCATTTTTCCATATCTTCTTTTATTCTGCAGGCCACTGACCACTCTGTTCCAAAAGGTCCCCCAAACTTCTTCATATTTTGAGGTGGGGGAGAGGGTAGAGGGAATAAACAAAAATAGCCTCCCTCCCCTTTTCACTAATCCAGGCCTTCTCTGGATCAATCAGAGCACAAGTGGATCCAACCCAATATATGCTAGGATCATTTAAGACAAATGCAATATATATTAACAGGTTTAGTTCCAGCAGTGGCTTTTGCAATCTTTGTCTCTGTGTGCCTTTCTTCAATGGCAGAAATGGGGAACCACAAGCACAGGGAGCACATGTGGCCCTCCTCTCTGTCCGGCCCTTGGAACTCTCCCCAGGCCACACCCCCTCCCAAGTCACACCCCTCAGCCCTATTTTGCCATCCTCCTTGGGTGTTTCTGGCTGGCTGGAATGTGCCCCTGAACTTCCTGCTTGTCTACATGGATGATAGAGAAGGATGTGTGATTATGAAGAAACTAGCCCTGTTCAAAAGACTAAAATGCACATTCATTGCTCTGCTGACTTTACTCCTGCCCTGCCCACCACTGACATGTGTCCCCCTCCCCGAAGGTCACCCAGAAGGGAATGCGGTCCTCATGTGGATAAAGGTTCCCCACTCTCTGATCCATGGTCTCTGGTCAAGGCTAGCACTTCCATGGGTCAAGGCAAAAAAAATTGGTTTCAGGCAGCAGATCCACCCGCCCTACCACTGGAAGCCCTGCCACAGCTTCACCCATGCCACTACTGCTGCTGCCACAATGTCCAATGTCCTTGCCCTAACATGGCACCCTCACCACCACTGTAGCATTGTGGCAAGGGTGCAGTTGTGGCGGCGGCGCAGGCAGCAGTGCGGGCAGTGTGGCAAGGCAGGGAGGAGGTCCAAATCTGTTGGGAGCAGTGTTGGCAGAGCATCAGCAGGGCATTTTGCCTACAGCAGCAAAACGTTCTTGGACACCCCTGTCTCTGATATATTAATCCTCTTTCCCATTAATGCATATCCATACTGAGTGAGGACTTTTCTATTTGTTGAACGCTGAGGAGGCGTCAGAGAGCAATCATACATAAATTGTTAGTCCAATATTATTTTTCTTAAAATGTGCAGAGTGTAGGCATGAAGCGAAATAAACTTCCTTAGAGATCTGGAATGTAGCTTATCTGCCAATATATATTTTGTTCTTTTTTTTTTGATTTGACAGATGGGGAGTTTTATTCAGGCACTTCTGTTGACTTCATGGGCAGCAGTGCTGCTTTTTTCCGTACACAGCTTGACAGGGTTGACCAGAACTACATCCGGACAGAACAGAACCAGGATTACTGGTTAAATGGTAAGTGGGTGATAGCAGAAGCAGCTGCTCAGAATATGATCTCTGTTAGCCAACAAGTCTGCCATTATTGTGCATGTAGCTCTTCACCTACAGAGTGATACAGCAAGGATGTGGAACGTAAACCAACTAATGTGGCTGTGTTGCCATCATGATAACAGGAGGCAGGATAACTCACAACACTTCAACCCCATTGCCTAAAACTATCAAATCAAATTCTTACAGTTCACTCCAAAAAACATTTCCATGTATTACCATGAGATCTCAGGGAGTTATAAACATAATCTTCTTGGCACATATAATAAAAAAAAAAGTTGCCATACATTATAGAAAGGATGGGGGTTAGAATTCCCTTTGGTCGCATGAATCTGGCACATCAGCTTTTCAGCCAGGGCTATTGTCCATGCCCATTGCATGGTCATTTCCATGCATGAGGAGGAATATTAAAAGTTTTTTATGTGCAGTTGGTGGAGCAGACATGTCCTTCTTTCCAAGCAAAGCAAGTTGAGGGAAAGGTTGTAGGTCTGTTTTGTATATTAAACTCAATCTTTAAACAACAAAATCCAAAATGGATGAACAGATTTTCATTGACACACAAATTAACTCAATAGTTTTTCTGCCTGGAGAGAAATGGGTGGGATCTCTTGGTGATAGTGATCGTTCTGCACTGAGATTGACTGAGTAGTGTAGAGAACTGATTGACCAGAGAACAGGAGATGGGTAGAAATGTCTCACTGAGCCATTCTACATTCAGAGGGATTGTGGAGGAATGTGTGGGACATAAAAATGTGGGGCAAGATATCACCAGAAGCCTCCGCTCCTATAGCCATGCTACCCTGGAAAGGGGGGCTTCAGCAGCAGGGCAGCAGCCAGGGTAGCAACACCTTCCTGCCTCTGGTGGCAAAAAAAGGACAGGTAGCCCACAAATTTCATAATTGTGGGTTTTCTTTTGTCGTTTTGATTTTTTTTTTTGCAACTGTAGTTGTCCTCTTTTATTGTTATCTTGATTTTTAAAAATCATTTATTCATACATATACAGTGGTACCTCGGGTTAAGTACTTAATTCGTTCCGGAGGTCTGTACTTAACCTGAAACTGTTCTTAACCTGAAGCGCCACTTTAGCTAATGGGGCCTCCTGCTGCTGCTGCTGTGCTGCCGGAGCACGATTTCTGTTCTCATCCTGAAGCAAAGTTCTTAACCTGAAGCACTATTCTGGGTTAGCGGAGTCTGTAACCTGAAGCGTATGTAACCCGAGGTACCACTGTACAGGTATATATATTGTTCTGCCAGCAATTTTTAACTGAATTGTAGCTGTGACTCCTTGATTTCTGCATTGCAGGGGTGACCCTTGGAATCCCTTCCAACTCTAAAATTCTGTGATCCTTTGACTTTTAACTGAATTTCCCTCCTTGCAGAGCCTGTGTTTATTGGTGCCTATGCTATTCCCGACACCTACAACCATGATGATGATAAGGTGTACTTCTTTTTCCGGGAGACTGCAGTGGAAGCTGGACAGTGGGAGAGAAGGCGAATCTATACCCGGGTGGCACGGGTCTGCAAGGTCAGTGAGGGGAGTCAACTGGACAACCCAGCTGTGATTCAAAGAATCAACTCAGCCTATAGGAACCATTGCTTGCTGGTTTGAATATTTAGTGTTTGCCAATATGATCATGCCTTTAACAGGACAGAAAGGGATGCTGAGAGCCACCTCCCCACCCTAGTGGGATGACCTTTTTGTCTGAATGTGAATCCTTCTCAGAGTGACACTGGTACCCAGATGCTGGGTACATAAAATCTTTTTTTCCTCCTCCTGTGATGGGAGTTGGGAACCTCTGGCTTTCTAGATGTTGATGGACTTCAACTCACACAACTCACTCTTGAACTTGGTAACTTGAATTTGTAATTTGTAAGATTGCATATATCTCTCAAATATTGATTTGAGACTGGTACATATATTATTTGAGTTTGTATTATTTTGTGTTATAGTACACATTGCTTTGAGATATTTAGTGTGCAATATACTTTCATTGTGCATACAGAGTTCGTGCTTGATGAAGACTCCAACTCACATCAGCCCTAGCCAGTATAGTCAATGGTCAGGGATGGTGGAAGTTGTAGTCTGGAGAGCCAGAGGCTTCCCATCCCTGTTCTGCAGCTTCCAATGTGGATAATTTTCCTTCTCCCTGTGTCTTGGAACATGGTACTCATCTGTTTTTGGGGGACAGGGGGCGGGCTGGTGTGGAGGACTCCCTGGTCCTGAATAGGGTAACTGTGCCCCTGAAGGACCAGGTGCGTAGCCTGGGAGTCATTTTGGACTCACAGCTGTCCATGGAGGCGCAGGTCAATTCTGTATCCAGGGCAGCTGTCTACCAACTCCACCTGGTACGCAGGCTGAGGCCCCACCTGCCCGCGGATTGTCTCGCCAGAGTGGTGCATGCTCTAGTTATCTCCCACTTGGACTACTGCAATGCGCTCTACGTGGGGCTACCTTTGAAGGTGACTCGGAAACTACAGCTAATCCAGAATGTGGCAGCTAGACTGGTGACTGGGGGCGGCCGCCGAGACCACATAACACCGGTCTTGAAAGACCTACATTGGCTCCCAGTACGTTTCCGAGCACAATTCAAAGTGTTGGTGCTGACCTTTAAAGCCCTAAACGGCTTCGGTCCAGTATACCTGAAGGAGCGTCTCCACCCCCATCATTCTGCCCGGACGCTGAGGTCCAGCGCCGAGGGCCTTCTGGCGGTTCCCTCATTGCGAGAAGCAAAGGTACAGGGAACCAGGCAGAGGCCCTTTTCGGTAGTGGCGCCCGCCCTGTGGAACGCCCTCCCATCAGATGTCAAAACGATAAACAACTACCTGACATTCAGAAGACATCTTAAGGCAGCCCTGTTCAGGGAAGTTTTTAATGTATGATATTTTAGTGTTTTATTGTTTCTATGGAAGCCGCCCAGAGTGGCTGAGGAAACCCAGCCAGATGGGCGGGGTACAAATAATAAATTATTATTATTATTATTATTATTATTATTATTATTATTATTATGATAAGCGTTCTTTTCATCAGGCAAAACAACCACCTTAAAATCAGAAAGTTTGCATTGAGAACCAGCCTGAGTTTGCAGCCATGTTGCGGTTGAAATCCCATGTTGACTTGGGACTCCATAGGATTTCCTTCTGCATGGAAGTAGGGGGAAATGGCCCTTTGGGTGTTCCACTTTTGCCAGAAGGGCTGGACAATTCTGATCATCCAAAATTTTAAGACACACCAGTTGTGTGACCATGATAGGGTTGATTCCAGTCAAAGCAGTAGCTTGGGACAGGGACATAGGCTTTCCATAAGTGGATGAGGAGATTATAGTCCTGACTGGCTCCTCTTTGTGGCTGGCAGAATGATGTTGGTGGGAAGCACAGCCTCATCAATCGTTGGAGCACATTCCTAAAAGCCCGGCTGGTTTGCTCCATTCCAGGTCTGCAGGGCACCGAAACACACTTTGATCAGCTGGGTAAGTTTGCTTTGCGTTCTCTTATTCTTTCCTCTGGTAATCAGTGATAACTATTATTGGTGGGAGTGACTTGCATCCTGCAGTACTGGTTCAGCATCGTTTTTCCATGCTTTTCTCTCTGCCCCACCTTGAACCTTGCTTGAGTGAGCAAGGTTCATTTTACTTTCTCAATGGCTGGATGGCCATCATCATATGTATTGGGGTGAGGACATTATTTCTTAATGCACACATGCTTAATTTGAAAGCTTTTTTCCACCAGACCTGCACTTTTCACTCTGAGGTGAGCAGACCAATACTTGTGATTGTACTTCTTTCTGGGAAGGGACTCTTTTCCAATGTGCAGTCCTCTGTGATCAGAAATCAGAAATGTGGCCACTGCTGCAAGAGCACTGAGGGTTCATTAATACACAACAATATTTTACCAGACATTAAGTACTCAGTTGATGACACCCTTTTCTCAACAGCAGAAATAAAGCACACCATAGTCACTACCCAACCCACACCCTTATTATTTAATACAAGACATAGCGCAGTTAATAATTGATGCTTTATTATTTACCATTTAATAGTTGTGTGTAGGTATGCATGCATTCCCCTTTAAGCAAAATACTTTGGGAAGACACACTAGTTTCTAGTTTATCCAGGGTGTAGAATTCAACTTGTCTTGGGCTAAGACTCTTGACACAGAATTTTAATTTTTCTAGTGCAGAGGATACACCATTCTGGTCATAACTAATACAGCAGGATTTGATGTGTTCTGCCCACCAGTTCCCCCCGACTCTGTCTTAACAGCTGCTGAAGTACCTGCTTAGGTGGTGTTGGGGTTTTTGGAGCTGAAACTGCAATTGCCATAATGGTGGAGACATTGTTATGATTAGAGCTCTCCCTTCTGTTCAGTCTTCAAGGCATTTCTAGCAGCCAGCCACAGACCTCCTCATCTCATGTGTTCCCCGCCCCAATGTTTCTTTCCAGAGGATGTATTCCTCCTTCACACCCGTAATGCACAGAACCCTCTCGTTTATGGCCTCTTCACAGTGTCAAGGTGAGTGTTAAGATGAACAACTCACATCAGGAAATTGACTCATTGTTTGTGCAAGCACCAGGTTTACTTCAGCATTGACAAAGGCTAACACATCATTTAAACACAGTGCTTGTGCACAGATACCTTATGCAATGAGTTTCCTTGGCTCTGAATTGGAGTCATGAAAAAGCACTACCAGACAATCATTCTCCCCAAGTCCAAATACTTGCAAAATGTAGTACACCTTGTGCTAAGCCACTCATAGACATGGGGGAGGTGGGATGGGGTTTTGTGCAGTATTCCATTACAAAACACAACACTCCACAAAGCAAAGATCAACATGGAGGACAGTTAGTGAGAACAAAGTGCTTCTCTGAATCAGTGTTGGAATGCAGGAAGTGTTAAAAGAACATCATTTGAAGGGAAACTAATTCTTTAAAGATAGACCTTTCTGTGATGATTTAATGCAGAGGTAGGGAACCTGAGGTCCTCCAAATCCTTGAATAAAGTGCCTATTTTCTAAGGCAGAAACCTTTCAACGTAACAGTTTTCCAGATGCGCACAATGCATGTACCATATAGCCACAGCATCAGTAGAGTATGATTTGCCTGTTACTCCCCGCCCCCCTCTTCTTTCCCAGTGGCATTTTTAGTGGTTCTGCTGTGTGTGTTTACTCTTTGGCAGCCATTCGGGCTGCTTTCAATGGACCCTTTGCACATAAAGAAGGCTTGGACTATCAGTGGGTGGAATTCAAGGGACGGATCCCCTACCCCCGCCCTGGAACGGTACGTCTTTAAAACACAAAAGTTTCAGCCAGGGATGGGGAGTTCAGAATCTGATTCAGTTTGCATTTAAAGGTGAGCCTAACTAACTTGCACTTTCTGGAATAATAAAAACAAAACAAAACAACCTTCCTTCAGCACTTGCAGTTTTCCACATTTTGCAATGCACATACTGGAGTAAAGTGTGCTTAGAATTCATATACTAGTGAAAATGACATACACAAATGCATTGTTAGTTAGGGAAAGTTGCTTTGCAAAAATGTGTATGGTAGGCCAAATGGCATAGGAACGTTAGTATAAATTTGTACTAAAATGCTGATGAATTGTCATGAAGACTTTTTTTGCCAGCCCATAAATAGGGAGGTTGGAAAGAACTAGGAGACAGCCACATATTGGTAGGCTCTAAGGTACCCCCATTGCTTTCGTTATTTTGCTGCTACAGAACAAGAAGGCTACTTATTGTGGAACTTGAATCCTGCACTGTCTTGTACCCTTTCCCTCTTTTTATGTCCTCATTCTTTCTCTGCCAGTGTCCCAGCGAAACATATGACCCACTCCTCCAGTCAACAAAGGATTTCCCTGATGAAGTGATTGGCTTCATGCGCACCCACCATCTGATGTGGGACCCCGTCTATCCACTCCATTGGAAGCCTGTTCTGATGAGAGCCAATGTAGCCTTCCAGATCAAGCAGATACTGGTGGACAGAGTGGAGACAGAGGCTGGCCTGTTGATGTCCTCTTCCTTGGAACAGGTAGAGGGTGCTAGCTAAAGATGTCCGCCTCTCTTTGTGACACACTACATCACAATGGTCTTTTTTCCATGGGCCCTTCATGTGTCCTTTCCAGCTCAGCAGGCAAAGGAAGGCGAGGGATGGTAGTGCCCAAACGTCATGATGAAGGAAGAGAGGTTGTCGCAGTAATTTAGGAGTTTGCCCAGTCAAAATGCTGTAAGATAATCTGACAACTTTATATTTTGAAATGGTCCCTGATGTTATTCTGGAAAGCTGTTAACAAAGAACTGCCCGTCCCTAAGAATCTCACCTCAGTAGGTACTGCATTAGATCAGAAAGGAGCTCCAGAGGTTGGGAGGGAAGGATCTGAGGTACTAGGCTAAAGAGGTTCAAGGTTGTGATCCTAAACATACTTGTTGGAAGTATAGACATCAAATTTGATGGATTGACTTCAGAACAAAGAAGAGTTTTAGAATGGCCTAACAAGAAACTGAAAGTGAGAGTTTTTTGCTAACTGTTACATTACAATTATTTGTCCACTTGAGACTTAGGGTGCAATTAGATATGGTGGTGGCATGATTCAACCCAAATCATGCAAAATGTCTACAAAGCAGCAGGGCTTGGAGAGGGGAATTTTTAAATGGATACCACAGCATGGGAGTGTGGTGGCGGAAGCCACGTCTTTCCACTGCCTGTGTTTGTGGCCTTGAACCTCTTTCCCTCACCATTTTTCTCCCCATGAGGGTTGCTTCCTATTGCAGATCCCCACTAGGAGAAACACAGCTGGAGAGAAGCAAATGTAGGAAGCAGGTTATGGATGAGGAGGAAGATCCATTTCACCCCTCCCCACCCATGTCATGCTGATCTCTTTCTGCTCTTTAAGGGGAAAGAGCAGTGCGCCAGTACTGGCCGTCACCAGCCCATGAGTGGGCATTCTTTGTGCACTGCCATTCTATTTATTACAAAGCCTTGTTGCAGTTTTTGTCAGTGGTTTTGTTTATTAACATGAGTATAATCTGAAATAAGAAGTTACCCTTCTGATTGCTAATTGAAGCATAATTTTCCTCCTAGCAGTGCTTTCTTATAGGAGGGGAAAAGGTGCCGGTATTGTGTACCCTTGAGTATCCCCAGAAAAAAAGCACTGCCTACCAGTAAAAATCTGATTCTCTACAAAGTATTGAAAGATACACATTTTAAACAAATATAAAAATGTAAAGTAGGATTCCAAAAACTACAGGCTGTCATTTTGGATAGGGATCACTGAAAACATCAGCTTGGTACATTGCAGCTATCAAAACAATGCTAGAAATTATTAGCAAAGCGATGAAATATAACAAAGAAAATATCATAATAGCTCTATATAAATATGCTTGATGAGTCCACATCTTGAGCCCAGCATGCAACTAATCTGATCGTGATATCCCAAGAAAGACTTATCACAGCCAAAAAATTGTATGGAAATAACACATTATTATTGCTATGGAATACCTTCCATATGAAAATCTTCCATACAAAAGAGTATGGAAGAAAGTTGTGGGATATCGTCAGTGTTCAGCAGTGTTATGCATTGAACAACTATTATTATTTATTAATCACGTATCACATATTCCCAAAGCATCTAATTCAGTATTGTTTACACTGATTGACAGCAGCTCTCCAGGGCTTCAGGCAAAGGACATTCCAAGCCTTGCCAGGAGATGCCAGGGATTAATAGAATCATGGAATTGTAGCATTAGAAGCTGGGACCTTCTGCATGCAAAGCTGTGTAGCACTCACAGTGTTCTGAAGCCTCTGCTGCATGCAGAGAGTAATGCAGGGACAATGGATGCCTCGTTTCTAACATCCTGTTCTTCATACCTTGGAGTATCCAAAACTGGCATCTTTCAGAGATAGTTTACTGGACTCAAATAAACTGCTTTGACTAACTTTGACCTAACCAATTCCATGCAGCAAGAACTGGTGCAGTTACCCTGTGATATGTCCTTACATCTTATTCTTCAGATGATGGCAAAGTACTAAAAGTGGGGATTGCTGGCATAGGAGGCCAAGACCCTCAGGAAATTAGCTTGGAAGAGATCAGTGTTTCAAAGGTACTGTGGAAATCTCATTGATCCTTAAAAGCCTTTTTGTTTATGATCCACCAAGAAAGTGCCATGTTGCCAGACATAATTTATGATGAACTTTTGCTGAATGAAAATAGAGACTTTGTCTATTGTGGGGAATGGTGTTTGCACCAATCAACATTCAGGATGTTGTGCTTTCCATTTCTAATTGGAATCTTGGTGTAGAGCACCTTTTACCATCCTGGTGCCTTCAAGGTATATTTGGATTCCTTTGCCCATCAGTCCCAGACAGCACAGCTTATTGAGATAAAACTGCTTTGGCTCACCTTCAGCACATCTGGCTGGGGCCGATGAGAGTTGTACTTCAAAATATCTGGAAGGCATCAAGCTTGAAAAAGGTCAAAATAGAGCAATAGCCAACTCCTGGCAGTTTTTCCTGGAAGCCAAGCAAGTTGATTTTTCCCTTCAGTATTGACTTCACTTGACCTTGAATGGATGACTTTGAACTAAAGGTTATGGCCTGCATATAGAAAGATGGAATATACATTTTTTAAAATAATGATCATAAGATACATGACTGCTGTTGAAAATGCAAAGCATAGATCTAGCGTCCCCATCTTGCAACATATACTACAGAAGTAGCCAACACGATGCCCTCTGGATGTTGTTGGGCTACAGGTCCCATAATTTCTGACCGTTAGCTATGCTGACTGGGGTTGATGGGACTTGTGCATTTCCCAGCTACTTAATCAACTGTCCTAGGGCTTAGCTGTATCTTGAGAGCCTACAGCAGCTTCTTACTTTTGGCGCATCAACCTAGAATTTTATTTACTCTGCATTCAACTGGAGTGTTACAGGGCAGTGGAGAAATGGGAACTAACACACACAGGGCAAGAAAGGCCCAAGCACACATCATATCTGGAGGATGAAGATTGTTTTTGTGCTGGCAAAGTGTAAAACAATGGAGAACAAATTAGCCTGCTACTTTTCTGAACTCAACCTTCTGAATGCCAGTTTGATGCAAATCACAATTGGGAAGAGAGCGTGGTTGCACTCAAGTCCCGCTTGGTGGTTTCCTGTAAGCATCTGGTTGGCCACTGTGAGGACAGAATGCTGGATTAGACTGGGCTCTGGCCTGATCCAGCAGGGTTGCTCTTCTTAGGTTTTTTAGTAGCATACAAGAATGTCAGGAGGACAGCAGGCTCAGTTTATGAGCACACCAGTCTATAGCTGGGGTGGAATTTTGGGGAAGCTAATACTGAATTTAGAATAGAAGTTTGCTGTGCTTGTTCAAACTTCTCCTGTCTTCTCTTTCTTGTAGATGTCTTTGGCCATCTTAGACATGCAGTTTTCTCCTAAGAGGGTAAGTCTGCATTTGTTAATCTACCAGTAGCATTTTTCTATAGGACAGCCTTCCGCAACCTGGTGTTTGGACTACAGTTCCCATCAGCCCCAGGACACATGGCCAATGGCCAAGGAATAGAAGATAGCACAAAACATCTGGAGGGCACCAGGTTACAGAAGGCTGCTCCAGAGTACATACTTCAGGGCAGGCTTCTCTCAATATTTACTAAATATGTTATGATTTTGAATCTTCCTTCCTGCTCTCATAAGATGTTTGTGTCCCCATACTCATGGGAGTCTGCCAGGTTTCATGACTTAATGGAAAGGGAAACAAAAGTTGATGCCTCTTTCTATTCTTGGTTCTGTGAGCAGCAGGAGGTGTTTGTGAGCACCACAAATGGCCTGGTCCGGTTCTCCCTGTATCGCTGTGAACACTATGGCAAAACCTGCACCGAATGCTGCTTGGCTAGAGATCCCTACTGCACCTGGGATGGCAGGTCCTGCAGGCCCTACTTGCTCACCAAAAAAAGGTGAGTTTCCACCTTGTCCTTCTCTCCCTTCTTTAGTGTGCAGTCTCTGTCCTCCATACACTTCCTAGTACTCTTTAGTTGGCATAGTTGGGATGGGGATCACCATCTACACATGAGCATGTGCTATGGCTGTGTATACTGGATGGCCTGTCTGGAGTTCTCGTTAGATCATGTGACTTGAGCATCAAACATTTAAATTGGACTGTCTGTAAATCCTGACCTTCCCTAACCCAACCAGCATCCAAGCTTAGGTCCCTTACTTCATTTTACATAGGGCTCCAATCCCAGACACTTTCTTGCCTAGGTACCTTCTGGCTGTGGGGAAAGTAGAACACTGGCCATTAGCTTGAGCCATTCTATGGGAAAGTTATGTAGAAGCCTAGCATTTATCTTTTATTTGCCAAATGGTCATCAGATCATTGCAGGAAAAAGGCGCGGGGGGGTGCAGAAATAGAGCACCTGTGGCACTCCAAATCCAATCAGCCCCAGCCAGCACAGAAATAGTCAGAAATGATGGGAGTTAGAGTCTACCAACTTCTGGAGGGCCACTAGTTAGCTATCCTTACTATATAAGGCGAGGTGCTCAGCACTTCACCTTGCTGGAATGGAGAAGGAATGGTGAAGATGCACTGCCTCCTGTGCAAAGCAACACAAAAACAACTGAAGATGAATTTGGTGAAGACTGAAGAACTGGGGCTGCCACCACTCCATTCCCGAGCCATACTATCCCTACATGTCATTCTCGCGTGCACTGCCTGTTAGGCCAAGCCCACCAGTCTCCTTAAAAGAATCCAGATGTTCCTGAACATCTCTGAAACCTGGCTAAGCATATGCACCAACTGTCTTCCTTGCAGGCGAGCCCAGTGCCAAAATTTGCTGGAGGCCAATCCAATCAGCCAGTGCCAGGACACTGCAAAAGGTGAGTCAAAGGACACTCTACTGGGCACACCAAAGAGCTGCTAAGCCCACACCAAGCAGCAAGAGCCCACCACTCTTCAGTCCTGGGGGAAGTGTAAAAAACAACTTAACAGCATCCCTTGCGCCAAAGCAGGCTTTAGTGTACCTCAGCCTTAGTTCTTGCCAGAAGTTTATGCAGCCTCCTCCTGATCACTCTCAGTGCTGCTAGGGTGATTTACCCACAAAACACATGCTTAAGTGGAGGTGGTTTAAACACAGAGCCCAAGAAAGACCACCTGGGAAGTGGCACTCATCTCATTCAAAGTGCCATGTTGATTTACATTGAGTTTTGCTGCTGTCAGAAGCCATTAGTGATTAATTTAGCCACAGCTGCTCAAAAGCTGGACATATTGAGGTGCTCACCTGAGTTTCCATAAACACTGTCAGCTCTGGATTTAGACACAGAAGTTAATGTAAACCCAACATTTGGTTCTGGTTTGTGCAGGCTCCAACATACGGGATTCATGTTACTTTGCAAGGGATCCTTATCCTACACCTTTAATACAGGCCCTTACTCTTAGCCTCTGTAGGTGTAAAGTAACACATTTATCATTGCACACTTCCATTATAGTGTCTCCCACTTTGGACTTGGCTAATGCTTCACTCTAAATTACCCACCTGCAAAAACTGCAGATAAGCAACTCCCTCTGTTTTGCACTCTCAGAAGGGAACTAAGTTTCTCTAAACCCAGACATACAATGCCACCACCTTTACATTTTCTTTTCCCAAGTAGTAGCTGGGTAGTAGTTAAATTAAATATTTCAAATGAAATTCAAAGTGGTATCTAGTACTGTATCTGAAACAAAACACATACACAACACATTGGAAGTTTGCAGTGGGGATTACTTCTTCCTACTGTATTAACAATTTTTGTTATTTGCTCATCAAATTTGCAGATGACACCAAATTGGGAGGGGTAGCTAATGCCACAGAAGACAGAATCAGAATTCAAAATGACCTTAACAGATTGGAGAACTGGGTGCAAGCTAACAAAATGAATTTCAGTAGGGACAAATGTAAGGTTCTACACTTAGGCTGGAAGAACCAAATGCACAAATATAGGCTGGGGGGCACCTGGCTTACTAGCAGTACATGTGAAAAGGATCTTGGGTTCTTGGTGGACCACAAGCTTAACATGAGTCAACAGGGGTGCCAACTTGAATAAAATATTGTGGGGGCCCTGGTAAGCCCCACTCCACACAATTGTTCACATGATGGAGCACACATACCATTTGAATGAGAATGCCCATCAACTTTGTGGGGGCCAGGCCCCCTCAGATATTTTATTGTGGGCGCCAAAGACCCATGGCCCCTGGGAGCTGGCTCCTATGTGAATCCATAGTGTGATGCAGCAGCAAAGGCTGCATCAACAAAAGTATAGTGTCCAGAGCAAGGGAAGTAATAGTACCACTCTATTCTGCCTTGGTCAGACCACACCTGGAATACTGTGTCCAATTCTGGGTACCACAATTCAAGAAGGATATTGACAAGCTGGAACATGTGCAGAGGAGGGCAACCAAGATGATCAAGGGTCTGGAAAGTAAGCCTGAGGAGGAGTGCTTGAAGGAGCTGGGTATGTTTAGTCTGGAAAAGAGGGGGCTGAGAGGAGATGTGATAGTCATCTTCAAATATCTTAAGGGCTGTCACATAGAAGAGGAAGCATGCTTGTTTTATCCTGCTGTTGCGGGTAGGTCATGAACCAATGGCTTCAAGTTACATGAAAGGAGATTTCGATTAAACACCAGGAAGGACTTTCTGACAGTAAGAGCTGTTCAGCAGTGGAACAGACTCCCACAAGAGGTGGTGGACTCTCCTTTCTTGGAGGTTTTTAAGCAGAGGTTGGATGGCTACCTGTCATAGATGCTTTAGCCGAGATTCCTACATTGCAGGGGGTTGGACTAGATGACCCTTGGGTCCCCTCCAACTCTAAGATTCTTTGATTCTATGATTTAGTGCAAAACGCAAAAAAACCAAAACCCTCCTTGATCAGTGATTCCCAAGAGCAACTATGTGTAACTTTGGTTATGACTATGTGCAACTGTCAGAGACTGTATTTGCTGTAGTTAAGAGCAAAGTTTCTATCAGAGCCCCAGTGAAAATTGAAGTGGGGAGGTTATCTGCTTCCTTCTCCAGCTGTGGCCATCCCATTGGTGTAAACACATTTCAAGGGGCTCCTGACCATCAAGAGCAGCTCTGAGGCGGAGACAGGCAGGGCTTCAATGGTAAGAAGGTGAGAAATCCCCATTTGGCAAGCTGAACTCGTCTGGTGGGTCTTAGGATCTAAGCCAATTGATATTAACTGTGGAGGAGACACACAACCCCACTGTTTATACAGGTGTTTAAACTCAGGAGAGCACATACACCCTCCAGCTAAACTGCACGAAGGCACTTCACAACCTCCTTCTCTTAACTTCTGAGGGAGAAGAGGCCAGTGAACAATTAGTCAACTCTTTTGAGATGGTAATAAACGTCTTCAACTTCCTTGCAGGAAAGCATTTAATGATTACCAGAGCTTAAACATTAAATGTTAAGTTCAAGTCCCCAGCACAAATAGTGGGTAGGGGGACTGGGGCTTTCTTTACAAAGCACAAGGTAGCTGTGCTTGTCCACAAGATAAAACTTGGAAATCCACATTCAGGCAATTCCTTTGCAAGGACCAGTCAAAACGCCTCCAAAATGTGGAAAGCTGTCCAGATCTCTGGAACTCTTCATCAGACAATATGTTGCACAAAGCAGGGGGTTGAGAAGGTAGAAACATGAGGTTGGATATTGTAGCCACGAGGTCTGCATGTACAAGATGTGCACAGTATTGTGTACTATAGCCGACACAGATTGTTGCTGGGGGCGGGGGGAATGAATGCAAAGAACTGCTGAATAAATTAAGACAGTCCCACAGGGTTCAGGGAGCAACTAATTAGTGCTCAGTCTGCATAGCTGAAAAGATAGTATTTTGCACAACACAAGGGGCAATGACCCTGTTTATCACTTCCCACAATACCAAGGAGCCGGTGTTGAATGCTACTGCACACACAGCTCAGGGAAAGAACAAGAAGTCTCATGAGGTTTTGCAAATGGCCTTCACCAGTATTTAGAATTCTGAGTCTGGAAGCATTCGCCAGTCATGAATACTACATAACTTACAAGATCCCAGGAATGCTGAATACCAGCAGTCAAGAAGTTGTTGATACTGCAAATATCTAATCCTCTATACATGTAGGAAGGCTCTTTTCATATACCATAACTCACTAATGGAAGAGGCGAGATATTTGTTGAGTTTCTGAGCAAGTCATTATAATGAGGGCTAATTCAAGTACAGAGCTCACAGAGACTTTGGTTTATCCAGGTGGGTACAATATAGTGTTATACAACTTATAAATGCCCTGCAAGTGCTCTTTGAAAAACCTACTTTTAAGTCACTGTAAACTGTCATCAAAATGACAGTTTTAGTATGTAACTTTGGGAATACATAAGACGTGTGTATATGTGTGTGTGTGTGTGTGTGTGTGTGTGTGTGTGTGTATCTGGCATTATGTATTTAAAACACCCATGTGTTATTTAATATTTGAAATAGTCTTGAGTTTCCACTTTTATTTTGAATTTTTTAAAAAGTATTTGTCTATCTCTGCGCTTGAGAAAATTAAATAATCATTTGAATAAAACTAACTGCTACATGAAGGGGAAAGGGGTTCTTGTGCTGTCTGACTGTAGCCATTTTGAGTCCTCTATTTGTATTTACAGTCATACCTTGGAAGTTGAACAGAATCCTTTCCGGAAGTCCGTTTTGTCTTCCAAAACATTTGAAAACCAAAGTGCAACTTCTGATTGACTGCAGGAAGCTGCTGCAGCCAATCGGAAGCCGCGAAAGCCCCGTCGGACATTTAGCTTCCAAAATAATGTTTGAAAACTGGAACAGTCAGGAGCCAAAACATTCAAGAACTAGGCTGTTTGACTTCCAAGGTATGACTGTACACTGCAGAAAGTAAATCAGGTATAGCTTTCCCTAACAGAGGCATAATGGCACTTGTTGTTGTTGTTTAGTCGTTTAGTCGTGTCCGACTCTTCGTGACCCCATGGACCAGAGCACGCCAGGCACTCCTGTCTTCCACCGCCTCCCGCAGTTTGGTTAGACTCATGTTTGTAGCTTCGAGAACACTATCCAACCATCTCATCCTCTGTCGTCCCCTTCTCCTTGTGCCCTCCATCTTTCCCAACATCAGGGTCTTTTCCAGGGAGTCTTCTCTTCTCATGAGGTGGCCAAAGTATTGGAGCCTCAACTTCACGATCTGTCCTTCCAGTGAGCACTCAGGTCTGATTTCCTTAAGAATGGATGCGTTTGATCTTCTTGCAGTCCATGGGACTCTCAAGAGTCTCCTCCAGCACCATAATTCAAAAGCATCAATTCTTCGGCGATCAGCCTTCTTTATGGTCTTTATGGTTAGTGCTACAATGGCACTAACTAGTACAATATATAAAATCTAGGAAGCGGCACTATACAGTCAATTTGTTGGTCTAACTCTGCATGATTTATAGTGGTTGGCAGTGCCTCTGCTGGATTCAGGGCCAGGGCCTTTCCTTACCATGATATGCCAGGGACTGAACATGGGGTTCTGCATGTGCAAATCATCTGCTTGGCTCACCGATCTACAGCACTTTCTCTCAGGAAAGCTACAGAAATGGGACGGAGGGTGGGGAACTGCATTCTAGAGAACCTGCATGGCTCTTCCAAAGACTCATTTCTAAGAGTAATGACCACAGAACTGGAGGGGTAGGTATGCTAGGGCTGACATGTTAAGGTTTGGAGGCGTAGAGAGAACTGCTTGCCTTTTTGCTACAGGCTTTTCATTTGAGAGCGTGTTCCACAAAAAGCTTGTGTCGAGGGTAAGACAGTTCCCCCTCCTTCTAGTCACACAACCCCATCTCTGTCCTTTTCACACAGGAATATCTATGGCTGAAGAAAAGGTGGTGTTTGGTGTACAGAACAACTCAACTTTTCTTGAGTGCCTTCCACATTCCCCACAGACGGCTATCCGTTGGCTTGTGCAGCGCAGCAATGCACCAGTCCTAGAGGAGGTATAGCAGTGGGGAGGGTGATGGGGTAGTGGGGTCGTTTCTTTGGGCCCTGGGGAGCCATGGGAACAAAGGGTTTCATTACTGTGCAGGGGAAGGAGAAATAATGTGTTTAAATCATTTATTTTAGACATTTATTAATCATCGGCATTGCTAAGAGCTGCCTTTCTTCTGGCCAGACTGCTAAACAAGCAGATATTGTCTGCGTTCCTTGCAGATTGGGAGCATGGGCCGCTTTTCAATCCTAGAGCAAGGGCTGCTGATTAATCAGCTGACCCAGGAGGATGCTGGGCTCTACCAGTGCCAAGGGATGGAGCACTCCTTCTCCCAAACCCTCACCTCCTACAGCCTGCGCATCATCGGGCACCAGGCCATGGAGGCTTTCACCACCAGGCGGAGCAAGAGCACAGAAGAAGCAGGAGGCCCGTACGGCACCATCCCTGCATCAGCGCCAGAGCTGCAGCTGCATTACAAAGGGTACTCATGGGCCATGGGCGCCCCTGGCACTAATTTGGATGAGCTTTGCGATGCTCTCCAGCGGAGGAAAAGGCGGAGACAGAAAGGATGGAGCCCAAAGTGGCAGCAGCATCCTTTACAAAGCAAGAGAGGCAGAGTCCGTCGGCAGCCTGGGCCCCCGTAATGTTATGCAAGGAACTCAAACGGACTCAGCAGGCACTCTCTGGAGACCTTTCGCAGCCAAGAGCCCTTCACAGACACATCTGCTGCATTTATGACCTCCAGAGCCTGCCCACTACAGAAAGGCCAGTGAGTCCTTTCTCAAGCTGAAGCTCTGGGTTTTTGCCTTCTTCCTCCCCTTGGGTACCAGAGGAAGGAATATATTTGCAAAGTGTGCAAAGTAGACAAGGCAGCCTGAGGAGTGCAGTGGGATCACCTTTCCCAGCCTATGTCATGTGGGATGGACTGACCAGCCTGGTTTGCCTTGTGATACCACGACTCCTCTGTAAAGCTTGGACAAGAGAGCTTTACGCTCTTGACATATCATATAACACATATTTTGTAGTTGTCTTCACTTTGTTTTCCTAATAAATGGTGTCCATTAAAGATACCGGGGTACCAGTTTCTGAGAGACCTTTTATGCACCTGCCAATTGCATGATGAGCATTTGCAACTCCATCTATTATAAGTGATATACACCCCAGGGGTAAAATTAGGAATTGGGTGGGGTGGGAGCTGTGTTATGATCAAATACAAAAGTGTGAGAATCAGGGCCCTTCCATGCCTGGCCAGCGTTAGGGTGACTTGTGTTTCCCGAAGACTTGGGGTCACTTCACCCTTCATGCAGTGACAAATGGGTATTCATGACAAGAAAAGGCAGCCCAGCCTCACTCACTGCTGTCTGTATCGCTACCCAGCTGCAAGTGTGCAATTGTCTCATGTAACCGTTAAGGGCTTAAAACACATGTGCAAATGTAGGTGATGCAGCCTTCTGTTTCTGACAGTGGGCAGAGGTCTGCTCTAGCCAAGAACCATTTAGCAGTGATCTGCCTCATTCCTATGTCTTGTTTTAACATCCAGCCACTGTCCTTGCTGGCCTTTTTCTAAACTGGTTTTTGTGGGAGTTTATAGCTCATGGACAGAAAATGCTTTGCACACAAAAGAACTTGGCCTCCATTGCCCATTTAAGAATGGATAATACACAGCTAAAGAGGACTATTTAACTGAAATTAAAAATGTTGGCATTAACATGGTCACCAGACTGCAGGTTGTGATAAGGGCAGATGAAGTGAATGGGAGGGTGGGGGAGGTGATCCCCTCCATTTTTGGCATTTCTACAATGGTGACAGGTTATGTGCCAGCTCCTTATCTGCTTTAGCAACACACAAAGCCACCTTAAAGGTAAAGGTACCCCTGACCGTACGGGCCAGTCTTGACAGACTCTGGGGTTGTGTGCCCATCTCACTCAAGAGGCCAGGGGCCAGCGCTGTCCGGAGACACTTCCGGGTCACGTGGCCAGCGTGACAAAGCTGCATCTGGCGAGCCAGCGCAGCACATGGAACACCGTTTACCTTCCCGCTGGTAAGCGGTCCCTATTTATCTACTTGCACCCGGGGGTGCTTTCGAACTGCTAGGTTGGCAGGCGCTGGGACCGAGCAGCGGGAGCGCACCCCGCCACGGGGATTCAAACCGCCGACCTTTCGATCGGCAAGCCCTAGGCGCTGAGGCTTTTACCCACAGCGCCACCCGCGTCCCTAAAAAAAAAAGCCACCTTACACAGAGTAAAAATATTAGTCCATTTAGCTCAGTATTATCTGCAATGACTGACAGTAGCTCCCCAGGGTTTCAGGTGCGGGTCTTTCTCAAACCTTCCCAGAGAAGCCTGAGACTGAACCTGGGACCTTCTGCATGCAAAGCATGAGATGTAGCCACTGAGCTATTGCCCCTTATTGGAACATTTTAAATAAAGAGACACCAATTTTCAAATTTTCAGGTAATTACCAAGCAGTTTATATTAAACATAATTAATGTTACAGACAGTGCTCAAGTGGGAGTTTCATTTCACATTAGACCAGACTCAATTATGACTAGATATTTAACGGCAGGTTTTGTTGGGACATCACTGCCGTGCTCAGTGTTTGGCACTCTTGTACTCACCTCTCCTTTTGATCCGTCGGCCGAAACCCTTTTCACAGTATCTGCCAGAAAAAAACTGAACCAAAATGTAAAATAATGCAACGACGACATCAAAATTGAGGAGCTTTTGATTGAACTGTTGATGTTAAGAAACTACGGAATCACTGGGTAATTGGATGTACAGATATAATAAATGGACAGCATTTTGTAGAGGACCATCACACGGAATGTCACAACTTCCCAAATATTCAAATTCACCTCAGCCTATCACATTTTGAGTTTACATAGCAGAACAGGAACCAGTTAGCAGTACCTACCAGTGCCTACATCAGTAGTGGAAAACAGGATTGATTACCTTGAACTGTTCTGCAAAAAGGGTTCACTGGGCAGGCACACATATAGGGATGTGAGTGTACAGCCTCAGTGTGGGTCTCCCGACAGGGCGCAAGCTGCCTTATCCTTACCTTAGGCTAAAACTGTATCACCTCATGAGTAAGGATCAAGTGCCCAGGTTGGCACTAAGTAACAACTCCCATCCAGAACAACAGAAAAACACAGAAGAATTGTTATACGTTCTGCTTCAGATAGTTTCTAACCAGAAATGGAGCCACTTGAAGCACTTGTGAAAATTGGCTTCCATTGACCTGGAACTGGGTTTCAAACTCCATTCCACTGCTTCCCTAAAAAATCTCTTTAGCTGCCTCCCTCTGTGCCATGTAGGGTGGGGGAGGCACAACTGTGCATGTTTGCTAAACTCAGAATAGACCCATTGAAATCTATGGAGTTAAGTTACTTTAGCCCATGGATTGCAATGAGCCTACTCTGAGTATGACTTAGTTGGATATCATCCTTGGAAACCATCAAGAGGGAGGCAGAAAGAGAAAGTTGTGATATGGAATCTCTAGTTAGTATCTGACATAGTGACATGCGAAATACGGATGTTCGGTTGTCAGAGCATTTAACAACAGACCATCCTAGCAGTAAATAGGAGAATTCACAGTTCAGGTCTCTCCATTGTATAAGATGGGTGGAGAACTTCTGGGCTGGCTAGATCTTAACCTTCCCACCCCCAGGTAGGCCAAATCTGCCAGGTAGGCAACTACATCACCACAACTGCAGAGATACAGCACTTTGACTTCCTGAGTGTCAGGGAAGGGAAGTCTTAAAAACCATCATTTCCCTCCCATATAGTAAATTATTTAGCAGCTAAAGCTTTTGTGCTAAAGAAAACACGCAGAGAAGAAACAACTATCTGAAGATCCCTTATGTAAGAAGTGGCTGAGAGGCCTGAACTTCCTGGTCCTTGTAATAGTAAAGTGTATTCTCACCAGGACCCACTACAAAACAGCATTTGTAGCTTATAGCAAATACAGTTTGTGGTTTGGATATTCTTATGGGGTTTAGGCCTATCACAAATATTAACTGTGCCTCAAGGCTTTTTTGCATGAAAGCATGTTTCAACAAATACTTAAGGGGCACCCTGTGGAAAAATCTGATAGTCCCCTTAGTAGAAAAACTGGGTTGAAACTGGGTAAAAGCAAATATCCACCTTCTTGATAGGCAGGCTGTCCCATCATTCAGACTTCTGTCGAAAAGTGGTTGGCTGATCCAAGTGTTGTTTATCACTGAAATGAACTTTTGCCCCTTCAGATACCAAATAACCATCACCTACCTGCTAAGACAGCTGCCCTGGTACAGCTAAACCCAATTGTTATGATTTACATACCTTGGAAATCAACGAAGCAAGTTAGTTGCATGTAGCAAGTCGCACTGCTTTCAAGGGACATGGTAGCAACTGATTTTAGCCATATGGCAGCCAGAGTATATTTATGCTTGAAAACAAACACCAAATTCATTCCAGACCAAAATCACTGGACTGTTGTAATGTTTGAAGTTTATTTTTTAAAAAAGAGAGAGAATTGATAGGCATTATACCAACTTACAATTTATTATTTTTTTTAAAAAATGACATGAAACACAAGTAAAAATAAATACATCATATAAACAACAAAATTGTTCAATGTCTCTGTTCTCGGGTAAGCGCATCCCATTGGACAGAGAGATGAGGGAAGCACATGACCCATGCGTGCAACCAGCCGACCAACTGACGCTGCTACAGAAATGCCATTCCCCCCCCAACCCTATCACAAAAGACAGGCCACAAACTAAAGGCGGAACAGAAACAAACCAAGAAAACCATTGGATTCACTCAGCTCCCCTGTACAAATGGATTCAATGGAGGGACAGAGAACGCAAGCTGGGAAACTAATAATATAGGAACCCCAAGAAGCAATGCAGCTGTGGGCAGCTGTTAGTGGTCTTGTTTCAATACAGAGCAAAATAAGAAGAAAAAAGATCCCTCCTCCTCTGCTAGCTTCTCCCATTCTTTGCTGATCCTCCCTGAACTGGCAGTACCCTCCCACCTCTCCTGAAAATCTGCTTTCTTGTTTTGAGTTACCAGGAGCAGACATTCCCACAAAAACTAAACGGCCTATCTCTTGTAAATCAACAGGCTTGACTTAATATGGTTTTGACGTTAAAGGGGGGGAATGCAAGAGGTTTTGTTATTATTTTTAATCTATCAATGTTTAATTTCTCTGTTTAGTGGGTCCACAGACAATTTCCCCCCAGTTTAGTAACTGTACATCTATGGTAGCTAAAACAAGATTTCAGCACAAATACATGTATAATTTTATTGACTCGCCATATCTTCCCATGACCATTTGCACTGCTGTCATTTGATCCCCTAATTCTGATAAAAAATATGAGCCAGCTTTCTTTACAACTAGCAATATGTCCGTCATGGTGAGAGAGGCAGAGAGGATGCCCATATATTTGCAGGGACTCCTGGCGGCTGCAGTCAGATTTTGTCTCCTCAAAACTCTGCCTGAAATTGCAGCCCATTTAGTTCTGTCCTATAGGAGCCAATGGGCTGTTTTGAACACAACACTAACCCACATTTCAGTGTATGGGTTGGGAACCTGGGGCCCTCAGCCTAATTTCTGGTGGGCTGAAGGAAGGGAAGGGATAGTGGGGGGCAGGGGAGCCAAAACAGATGGAATGAAAGGAGCCATCTGCCAGCTATTGCTTTATACCTCTAGCAAGAGCTGTTGGTTGCTCCCCTGGCCTCACCCCCCATTTCGCTCTGGCCTACCCAAGTTTGGCATATGACCTCCAACAAATTACTCCTGAGGGAATGTGGCCCTTAGCAGACAAAAAGGGGTTGCCCACCCCTGCTTCAGGGCAATGACAATGCAACTGGGTGATCCTTGGGCTCACGTTATTCCCCTGGCATGCCTGCTTTCACTTCCATTTTAAATTAACTACAGCTTTCCCTGTAGATCAAACTCAAGACAAATAAACCAGAGTTGTTGAGACAAGTCAACTTCAAACCACAGTTTAAGAAGTCGCCTTTTCCTAACATAATTAAGATAAAGTAGTTTAGCTTTCACTTACAATGCCAGAACTGTGGTTTAATCT